TGTATGAATCCTTACAATATTTACAGCCAGTCGTTTCGTATACAACTTCAAATCATTGATTTCCCTCCAAACTGTGTTTAAGTGATAAGCCGTGTTATCAAACACACAAAAACCGTTTCAAACAAAATAGGCAGATTTCGTCAAAAAATAAATTATTAATACTGGTAAGACATTCAAAATTATATCTTATATGTAGTGCAGATTAAGATTATGTATAATTTTAATCGAGTTGATATTGTTTTATTATGTTAATAAATTTAAATAGTGAAATATATTTAAATTTGACTTTTTTTTGCCAACTTTTCACCAACCAATATTTGGTGCAATATTAAGTGCAATATTTTAATTTTTTTTACAATACCTATGTTAAATAATGTTTAAATTACCTAATGTTATTTAAATATTTTTAGAGGGTGCCAAACAAATACATAAAACAATTAGGTTCACGAAACTATAGAAATTATTCTGATGAAACATTAGAAAAATGCCTAAGTGAAATAAAAAATAAGATAGATATTTATACAGAATAAGAGGCATAAGACTGTTAGGTATAAGTAAATTTAGTTTTTATTGGTAATATTGTTTTTTTTTTATAAAATTACTATATTGATATGTATATTCAGAAGTTATAAGCAATAGGTAAGCAAAAAATAGTTACCTACAAGTACCAGATGTTAAGTTCTTTTTTGTTAACAATGACTGCAATTCATACCTACATTCAGTTTGTTTACAATTTAATATTTTATAATTTGTTATAATATTGAAAAAGACTGCATTTAATACAAAAAGTTTGTTTTTATTTTTATATTATAATTTTGCATAAGACTGCAATTAACATATTTTAATTGTTAATAATTTTTTATTTTAATTTCATAATTTGTCATAATTTTGTAAAAGTCTGCAATTAATGTGCAATAAATGTTAATTTGTTTTAATTTTTCCAAACACATCAATAAGTTGTAGGCAGTGTTGAGTTCAGATAGCAAAAATAACATCTAGATAAATATTAGATTACTAGCTAAATCAATATCTAGATTAATATGAAGATAGAATATTCAATTTTTATCTAGATAAATATGTAGATAAAATTTTTTCATCTAGATTTATATCTTACAATAGTTAATTTGTATTTGTAATGCTTGTATTTTTAATTTGTATTTGTAATGCTTGCCATGTTATTGGATTCTTGGTTGAGTAATTGATTAAGGGAGGCAAACCAGGAAGGCTCGTTTCGTGTCAAAAATATATTACCTAATGAATAAATATACATATAAAATATTTAAATACCTATATAATATTATATTTAGCATACAGTAGGTACCAATTTCAACATATAACAAAATATCAAATAACCAAAATCATGGTAATGATTTTGTGACAGTTTTGACAAGAAGCTTTGATTTTGTCACCATTTATCGACACCAGTTTATATACTGTATCAAATAAATACTGAAATTTAAGTTCTGGCAATGGTGCAGGAACATCAACAGCAGGCGGAGGTGGGTCATCGACATTTTCTAGACAAATTCTTTTATTGGGCGTTGAAGACGTTATACTTAAAAAAACGATCCATATTGGCAGTAAACAAGAAAAACTTGAAAAGAGCAATAAAGTTTACGAAACGAAGTTGTAAATAACAATGAAATTACTCAACACTCATCTGTGCTCTATAGGGAGTCGCAATAGTAGTAGCCACTAGTCAGTCCCACGGATTATAAATGTATAACCACAAGCTATTATCGAATTGATTCAATGAGTGTGACCACGACAGACCAAAGTATAGTCTAGTGACTAGTATCTGGTAAAGAAATTAAATTATTGTACAAATATTATTATTTATAACATCCAATTGGGAATTGGTATTGTCAATACAAAATAGATGTGCGTGTGTATTCTTGCCGGTGGAGAACTATTTTTAGTATTTTCCACATTATTTACCGATCGACGGGACGTGTGGTGGGGTATAACTGTATAAGTGTATAACAGCTTGTATTGATATACGACCGCGACAGCGTCTGCAGTCGGCGTACGGGTTCTATTGTTAATTTGATAATAATGAATCGTCATTAAAGATTAAACATAATTGCATAGTATCATATTATTATAATATTTGATGGAAAATGACTAAATGAAAAACGTGCATTATAAAATGAGATTTATCTAGATAAGATAAAGGTACTTAATTTTCATCTAGATAAATTACCTAGATAAATGTATCTAGATACAACTCAACACTGGTTGTAGGTATTGATTTTATATTGTTACATGATACATACCTATCTAATGTTGTTAGAAGACTCAATTATTACTTAATAGTTACTCAAAAATTAATTAAACTATTTAAAAATATAATAATTTATTAGTAAATTCTAACTTTTACATAAAGTAACCTAAACTTATTCATTATTTTGCTTTTAAATATTGAAGTATATACCTATAGTCATATTGTATAAGGATACTTTGCACTAACGTTTTATAAATATGAAAATTAAATGCATTTTGGATGTTGGTGCAATGTTACCCAATAGCATAGTTAACTGTGCACCAATTTTTTTAAAAAAAATTGTTTAATCAATTTTTAAGTTTGTCAAATTTTTGTTGCACAAAATCATTCTTTATGTTCATACCTAAAAGACTGTGAAACTTGTAAAATGTTATCATTATTATTAATTTAACAGTGTATATCTTAGTTTAAAAAACCAAGAAATTTGGTGCAAAGAAACCCTCAGTCACGGTATGTGTTTGAAAATAAAACTGGTTATCAAATAATTATTTTTAAGCTTGAAGGCTTAAACTACCACGTATTAAGTACTAATGAATGTATGTAGTGTCAGTGATAGAAATAATTTTCTGAACCAAAAAACTAAAAATTATTAATGATTACAGACATTCGTTAGTGGCATTTATACTAGAGAGAATAGATGTTTCCCTCATATTAAATATATTAAACATCACTATAAATATATATTTTTTATAAAGGTTTTTAGATTTAACAGGATAAAATTATGTTTGCTGTTAGTAGATATTAGATTATTATTCAATATAAAAGCAGTCTGCATAGGTGCACACATACATTTATTTTAATATTTAAATTAATACAAAATGATAATTTTAAAATAATTTACTTTGTATAATATATAATAATATATTGATATTATATAATAATGTATTAGTATTAGTATTAATATATAATTAGGTATTTTAATTAAAAAAACTAAGAATTGAAGTTTTAAGTAAAATCAATGAAAAAACTTAATAGCAAATAATAAATAGGTATTATATTCTAAAATAATTTAAGTACAAACTTATGGAAAATTAATCCTTTATTAATATCGTTTGAATTTATGCAATTATAGGCACTACAATAGTTAACCATTTTATTATATGAAACCAAGGTACGTAAATATAAATTGATTAGGTATTAAACAAATTATAAAATACAATATTAAATTAAAACCGATTGAATTAATAAGATTTTTGATTTACATTCAATTGTTGAATAGAATAATATACAAAGAGAGAGAAAACATTACCTAATATATTTGTTATCTTTGTTTATCACGGTCACTCGGTTTTATTTACATTGTTCATATGGCTAGTAAGCATTCCAGTTATCGTATAGTTCAATGTGTGGTATTAAATTTTAATCTATTCCGTAGAATACCTGATAAGATTTATCAATCATTAGTAATTGTTATTGATAACGAAATGAATAATTTTTATCGTTTTTTCTGACATCCATAAAAACCTCTGACCTATGGCACACGTCGGCTTCAGATTTTATATCAACGTTACTAACGATTTTGATAACAGCCGGTGATAGTTTATCGGTCTTATTCTACGAGTGCATTAGTCAATTATACTACAAATTTACTTAAATAGGTAATAATTATTCAATTATTATTAATTTTAAAAACGTTCACTATGCCAAAATGTTATTAAATTGAATACTAACAACGAGTTATGATTTTAATTATTGGGAAAAGTACTTTTTTATAATCCTGACATACATTTCCGTTGTGACTTGTAAATATATTAGTATATAATTTATATTATAAATTATGTATGTTATTTGTATATTATATAAACAATCATTTTCTAATAGAATTATAAAACTGTCACTTAAGTCACTATACTATTTTTTTTTTACATACATTTTTGATTTTTTCATTAAATGTACTTAATAGTAAAGTTATCTCCTGTTTATTCATATTTTAATAATTTTAATTTCATGTTTTCTACTACTAAATGGTTCAATTTTTTTTAAGTCTAAATAATAATAATTGTAGGATTTTAAATCTTATAGTATTATTGAGTGTTGAAAGTACACTGATATTTGATTTATATTTATTTTAGCCTCAATATATTTGCTATAATTTTTTATATAATTTTTTTTATTATAATTCGAGGTTTCTATAAACATAACTAATAGTATAATGTTATATTTACCTTAATCATCTATTTCATTTGAGTTATTGAACCAATGTTTATACTGAATTAAATCACTACAATTACAGATCTTGATATGTGAACCTTAGCATATCTATTCTATACTACATATGTACTTATTATGTAAATTGTATCATTATTATAATATACCCTACATACATATATATTATTTATATAGTAAAAGAATCATTACAGTTCCATATGCTTATAAAAATATGTTTGAACAGAAACCTATTGTGTCTCAATCTTCTAAAAGCATCCATTTGTATTTTTTTTTTATGGTAAATTAAATAAACAAAACAACGGGATTGCCACTACCTTAGTTACAGTAATGTTATTAGTCATATAATCAACTTATAAAAAATAAGATAAATACATTAAAAATATAACAATTTAGTATAATTTATTATTTCTTTATCTGAGACTAATTAACACTGATATTGTGTATAGATTATATTAAATATGTATATGTATATATATAATTTATACGATGTTAGCTTTTAAGATTTTTATAAATTATAAAAGTAATTATAGTTAAATTTTTTTACTAGGTAAAACTATAGTCAAATCTTATACATCAAATATGTTTGACTTTATAAAAATACCATTCAAGAAAAGTAAAGAACAAATTGTACTCCAATCTCTTTGTGATCAAGTAAAACAGTTTGGTTTTTGTAAAGGACCCTGTTTAGAGCGTCATGAGTTATGTAAACAACTTGACAAGAATTGTCTCAATATTCCATTTAAATGTTTAGTTGGTATTCAATTGACAAGAATCCTTAGTGCTTCACATTTTTATGGAAGGATTCTTAAATATTCTACTGTAAAGGATCCAAGAAAAGATGAAGATTGGATAAATGTTGATGATTTGTTTGAAGTAATAAAATCTGAGTTAAAATTAATTGGATCATATTTAGACACTAAAATTTTACATGAAACCCCTGTTATTGGAGAAATGGTTATGGTAGAAATTGAAAAAGAATATTTTAGAGCAGTTATTTTGGATGTAATACATGGATGGTTCATGGTTAATATAAAAGTAAAATTAATTGACTTGGGACGTAAAGAAGAAATTCCTTCTAATAAAGTATTTTCATTACCAAATCATTTAAAAGAATTTCGTCCTGTAGCAATTGAAATTATCTTATCTATGGAACCATTTGGAGAAGAAGAATCAGTTTTAAGTTGGCCAAATACTACAACAAAACTTGTACAAAGTTTATTTGAACCTCTTATTTTAACAAATATAGAATTTATTTGTAAAGTTGAACTAACATTAGGAACAACTATATGGATTGATTGGATTTTAGCTAAAAAATGTATGAATTGTTCCCACTTGGCATGTAAACTTTACCAAAACTCTTTAAAATTGCCCAGGGAATTAATTGACCGTAAGCTTGCAAAAACAACTTCTCGACTTATTGATAGACTAGAAGACTTAAATAAAAATGCACATGTTTGGAAAGTACATCTAAATAAAGATAAGCCAATAAATACATTTTTGAATATTCAAAAATCTGGTTTATCATTATTTTCATGTGAAGAGAAAAAAATTAAAAACGATAACCCTATTCAAGTACAATGGGCTCATTTATCCGAGAATATGATATATAATGTATCTGTTGATTATATTGAACATCCAAAATGTTTTTTGGTGCGTAATTTGCAGTTTGGTAAAAGCATTTATGCTCTTCAAAAGGATATTGATGAAGCTATTAATAGTAATACAGTTTATCAATTAACTTGTGCTAATGTAGGGACAGTGTGCCTTGCTCTATCACCTGAAGAAAATAAGTACAATCGTGCCCTTGTCAAACAAGTTAAAGATCAAATTGTTAATATTTTATATGTAGATTATGGTGAATTTTGCCAAGTTAAAATTAAAAATCTTTTGACTATACCATCAAATTTAATAACAAAGTTACCATTTCAAGTAATTGAGTGCAATTTGAGTGGGTTTAAAGATATTTCACAAACTGATATTATTGATCAGTTTGTTGATCGTTTTTTCCATCTAACGAATACTAATTTATGTTTATACGTTCTTTCTTCATCAACAAATGCAAAATTAACTGGGGGTAACTATTATGAAATTGTTTTGTTTAACAATGTTATGAACATAAACACTACAATGGCTGATGACTTTAATATGTATGTTGATAATATGCAAATACAAAATATTTCAACCTTGAATTTTAAATATGATGAAATTGAGGATGATAAGTTAGATGAAGAAGAATTTCATAGTCAGTTGGAATTATTAGAAGTTCTATTGAATAGTTCTACTAAAATGGATCAAAAAAATATTGAATTAAATTCAAATGATTTAATTCAAGATAAAATTGAAAGTAAAAATGTTGAATCAAATGAAAAAAAAACATTACCTGATTCGCTAAATTTCAATCATGTTACACAGGAAAATAATAAACTGCAAAAGTATGTTAAAACCGTGAAAAAATATTGTTTAGATTGCAATACATCTTCATTGATGCCCCAATGTTTTTGGCACCAGGATGACAAGTGGTTATACATTAAATTAGATGTAATTTCTGTAAATAATTATGATATTTCACATACAACAGATACAATAACAGTTAATATTGAAACCAATACTATTTCTTATTTCTTTAAAATTTTGTTGTTTGCATTTATAGTAGAGGAATTATTTACTTGTCATGTAAATTTTGATGGAATTTACATAAAAGCAAAAAAACTCATTGAAGTTAAATATCGATGGCCTAGGCTTGTAAAATGTTCAAATAGACATAAATACATTATTTATGACCCGGAATATATAGTTGATCATAAAAGCAGGAATTTATGGATAAGAGTATTAAATAAATTTAAAATGAAATCTCATGCTAAGCTGTGTAATGTGGTAGATTATGACAGTGATTCTTATAATAGTGATTCTAGTGTTGAAGAATATACAATTTTTGAAGATACATTATAAATACATTTTTTTTACTGTCGATGTTTTAATACTTTTATAAAAAAGTTAAAATGTATGTTTCTTTTATTATTATTATTATTATTATTTTATTATTTTTCATCTTGTATTTTGAGTATTATAATTAAATGTAATATTGCTGTGTATTTTTAATTTTTTTCAAGAAAATAATTAAATAAGTAATATATAATAAATGTATTTTTTATTAAACTAATTATAATAATCAAATTTGAATCAAAAATTATAGTTATATAGTTCAAGAAATATAAATATAAAATTTAAATATATTATATGTACATTTACCTATTTTAATAATATATAAAATTAAATTTAAATACATTTATGTTGGTATTATTTAACTGTATATTTAATTAATTTTAAATTGTTTTTTTATTGTAATAATAGTGAAGATAGTTGTTAGAGCTCTGAATAATTAGTACTTATTCAAGATTAATTTATTTTGTGTGTAGTGAACCATTTGTAGAGAAACAATCCTTCTGCTGCGTGAGGAGTTTCTGAACAGACTAATCTCGTTGCGTGGCCAAAGCTAACTACCTTGATCTTGCAACTTGATGCTGTGTGATTTTTTCTTTGAGATACACTAAGTTACAAGTTTACCGGAACAAAGTTTGAAGTGTCTTGGAAATTAAGCAAGAAATTTGTTGTGTCTTCAAAGAACTTTTGGGCAATGTGTGATTGAGTGATGGTAAAATTTCTTGGAAAGAATAATCACCTGTAGGGCTGGTAGGGAGGGTCATATGCCCGATATTGTTTTTCAATGTTGAACCTTAATTTCTCCTGAAGAGAATGATACATTTTTTATGTTTTATAAAAACAAAAAAATTTAATTTTAATAGATTTAAATTCTGCGTTCTTTTTGAAACACCCTATGTTTATCTAATTATTTTTTTTATTTTTATTCAAAGCTACCTATATAAAATTATTACAGCTTAACAGTTACAACTAAAGATAAATAAACAATAAAAATACATACTGAAAAGACAAAAAAAAAAAAAAAGAAACAATCAGTGATTAAAAAGTTAAAAAATTATAACTAGTATGGTTACTAACAAAAACTGAAATCTACGAAAACAAAAATAAACAATTGAATAAACGGTTGAGTAAATTTAAACCAATATAATCAAATTACGAATTCATCATTTTCGAAAAATTTCAATATAATAATAATAAAGGCCCTTGAAAAGGAATTAAGAATAATTGTTGGTTCTAATGACATAATATTGTTATTATGTAAAAAACAAAGTAATTTAGATCAGGAACTAGAGAGTGATGGGCAATCGGTGAGAATGTGAGAGAAGTCGCAAATTGTTTCTTCTGCATGAGTGCACAAAGGGGAGTCGTTCATGTCAAGGTGAAAGGCATGCGCATAAAGTAAATTATGACCAAGTCTGAGCCTGGCAAATCGTACGATGTGGGACCTGTCTAGAGGCTGTTTAATGAACCATGGGTGTCGTGGAATTGTTGGGGTTATGGATCTATACCACTTAGCAGAATCAGGTGCTACTGATAACCATCTATCTTGCCTAGATCATCTATCTATCTATTTTGTCAAGCCTGTTTATAATTAGTTTGTAAAATATTTAAAATATCAGAAGATGGGATTTTATGAACAGATGGGTTTAAACTATATTTGGTAGATGTAGCGAGGAGATTAGCAACTTCGTTGCCTGAGATTCCAGAATGGCCTGGGACCCACAAAAATTTGAATTCTACATAATCAAAAACAGACATATGGTTATGTAATCCTTTTGTTGTGGACTTCAATTCAATTGATGATTCAAACCTGGTAAAAGATGAATTAATTGATTTAAGATCGAAAGAAATGGCGCGTCAAGATTTTCAAACCAAAAATGTAATTAAATTTTGGTGTACATTGACGCAGGCTTATCCTCGAGCTGTATCCAGGGTAATGCAATTTTTTATTTCATTCACCACTACATATCTCTGCGAATCTAGATTTTCTTCAATGGTCACAATCAAAACAAAATCACGAAACCGATTGGATATCAAAGATGATATGCGTGTTGCCCTGTCCAATACAGTCTCAGATTTCAAGAAAATAATTCTATCAAAACAATAACAAACCTCACACTAAAAATCTCTTATGTATCCACTATGTCAGTAACTATGTACGAATGTAACTTAAAGTTTTTATATTATCATTAAAAATTATTAAAACGAAAAACTTAATTGCTTTTTTTTTAGGGAGGGGGGATCCGTGGTTATACCTTTTACTTGAAAGGGGTCCATGATCCAAAAAAGGTTAAGAACCCCTGGTCTATAAGCAATTATAAATACCTGGTTGAAGGACACGGGTCTGTCAAAGCTATGATACTGGAACATTTTGTTTCCTCGTGTTTATTAATAACATGAGGTTTTTGTTTTTTTTTTTTTGCTGAATAAAGAAATTGCTTATACTATTTCGCTTCGATAGTTTTTAAGTCAAAATAATATAAATAATGTACCTACACTTGTATTATAAATAAAACATGTTGCAAAATAAACACAGTATTGAGGTCCGCTCAAGCCGAAGCGGTAGCGGCAGCGGTATTTATCGCTTTTTAAATACCGCTGATCTCACCTAACCGGAGAGCGAAATATTTCGCCGAAAATTACTAGTCAGACATAGTGACACCCATACGCGTACATGTATCTTAGTTATTATTATATTTTCATTTATTAATATTAATATTTTAAAGTACAAAACAACAAATAGCTATTAACTGTTTAAATTTATTGGTCATTTTTATTATAAATAATAAATTTTAAACAAGAGAATCATACATTCAAACACCACGACGTTAGATTCAACTGCAAGGTGTACGATTACGATGAATAGATATGTGTTTGAATATAAAGTCAAAATATATCATATAATGTAATGATAAGCTTTCTATAGATATAAATATATATTAATAATAAAATGTAGATAACTCATAGTTGGGAATTTACAACTGATTATCGCAGCGGTAAGTGAAAAATAAAAATATCGCGCTTAACTTTACGGTAACATTTTCGAGTTAAGTATTAAATTGTTGACTAAAGATAAATTAGTACATTATGAACGTTTGGATATAAAGCAATGTTGATTCGAAAAAGGTATGAGGAACAATATGTAGTTAATTTAAATGAAATTAAATTAGAAAATAGTTTAGGAATAGCAGATAGCTAAGAGATAGGTCTATAATTTGGAATTGATGACGGGTCACCTTTCTTAACCCGTAACTGGTACGGTGAAAAAAAATTACACTACTGGTATGGTGCGGTTTCTCAGACCACTTAGTTTCTTTACTTAATTTTGGACCACTTATTTAAATTATACTATCCTATATTTGCAAAAATATTATCATTATTGTGTCAACTTTCATTAGACGATAATTTTTCGATTCAAATTTAATTTTTTTAAGGAAATAAATTGATGTTTTGAAAATTTTTAAAAACGTATCATATAATTTTCTACTTGAGTTTTGATTAGCCCTGAATCATTTTAAAATACATTTTAACTTCAAAAACATCTTAGTATTGTAGTAGACACAATTTGAAACAAAATAAAAAAAAAATGGACGAACAATTTTCAATTTTTAAATAAAAATAACTGAAATCAAGATAGCTCTTTTCTTGGGTATATACCTACTCAAACTAAAAGAAACGAATGAAAAATACTTTTACAAAGCAACTTGAATTAAAATATAAATAAAAAATAAACAGTTAGGTACTTAGTTTCCAAAACAATTTGAACAAATTTTTCTGCTGCACTCAAGACATATGGGATCCCCACAGAGTTTGCATTGATAAATAGTTTTTCTTTTCTTCTTAGGAGGACATATTCGACACGTTTTTCGTGATTCGAGTTTGTCTTCGTGCACTGGCGTATCTTTTAAGTTTTTTGATTTACCGAGAATTCTTCCGATTCCACTCCTTATTTCACGTGAGATACATGTATTTTCAAAGCGTCTTTCTAATTCTGAACTCACAAGTTCAAACGCTAAACTCTTTAAATAATCGGCTCTTGTCATTGTTTCGTTATTTTTAAAAGAATTATATAAGACATACGAATTAACAGAAGAAATATCAAGAAGTCTGTAAAAAATTGCTAACGGCCAACGACGAGTACGACGCCCAGTAGAATAAACAGAACATTTTTCGTCCAATGCATCAACGCCTCCTTTTGTATTATTATAATAAGAAATGATTTCAGGTTTTTGGACATCATTGTCAAACCCTTTTTGATTGTGCATCGATGAGATTAATAACACTGCTTTATTTGGTTTTGGCACGTACGATAAAAGTGTAAGATCTTTTGTAAATCCATATTGAGTAAAGCCAACTGTACTTTTCTTATTTGGTAAAAAAGCTTGAGGTATTTCACGTTTATTTTTTTTTAATGTACCAACATATGTTAATTTTTTCTTTTTTAAAAGTTCAACAAGTTCTATGGAACTAAACCAATTGTCCACAGTTACATTACGGTTGGTCCCTTGTATTGGTTTTGACAACCGTAAAACTGATTGTGTAGGCTTAGAAAACTTCTTTTCTGTATGATCTAAGGTAAGTCCATCAGTATTTTGTCCGGCGTAAATGTATGCGTTAAATAAATAGTGACTGCGCGAATCAGTTAAGCACATTATTTTTAACCCGTATTTAGCTGGTTTATTAGGTATATACATTTTAAATTTGCATCTACCACGAAAACTTACTAACATCTCATCCACGGTAACACATGAACTCAAAGAGTAATTCAATTTACAGTTTTCAATAAATTCAATAAAAATTTCAGAAACTGGTGCGAGTGGATCGTTTTCTTTTCTTTCAGTTCTAGTATCAGAATTATCGAAACGTAAACATGAAATTAAAAATAAAAACCGTTTTTTACTCATGACCCGGCGAAAAATTTCACGTCCTGTTCCGTCAGTTGCAAATAAGGTGTTTGCATTTTCATGATTTGATTTAAATACAGCTGAGTAAAATAGCAAACCAAACAGTGATCTTAGCTCAACTT